TCTTTTTTTTTTTTTTTTTACATTTATGACCTCTTTCATAATACCACATATTAATGAAATGATTAAAAAGAAAACAAAGCCCAGCCATCGTTACCCCTGCCCCAGAGACAAACATAACCCTTTGGTACAAAAGCTACACTGTACAGATGCCTCTTGGGGTGAGTGTTCCTCCGCAGGTGAGCTCATTTTGGAGTACAAAGGGATATTATGGAAAGAGGAGAGTTAAAAAAGAGCTTTGGTAAAAATAAGTCAGGACAATGCACACCCATGTTTATCACAGCTTTGTTCACAATAGCAAAGGGTTGGAAACAACCTAAGTGCCCATGAACAAATGAATGGATAAAGAAACTCTGGTATATTCATACAATGGAAAAGTACGCTGCATTGAAAAACAAGGAACTCATGCAATATTTGACCTTGGAGGACATTATGCTGAGTGAAATATCTCAGTCACAGAAGGACAAATAACTGCATGGTGCCACTGTTGTAGAATGGGAATGACATCGGGGTTGGAGTGAGACTGAGAAAAATTGGATAAATTATGTATACTGCATCAAAACGGATGAGGGAAAGAACTGTTTGAAAGCGATACAAGATTGGGTATTATGGTTATGACAAGAGTCCAGAATAAAGGCTGCATAGTGGAGTGTACTTGCGGGGGTGGGGGGAGTACTGTATACCAATGAAATAATTTTCCTTTTCCTTTTCAAAGAGAAGAGCGAACTGGGGGGAGGGGTGGGCAGGGAAAAAAATTGCAACAATGAATGTATGGAAATCCATAATCTCTGTAAACGTTCATTAAAATTAATTTTTTAAAAAAAATAAGGCAGGACAAGAGTGGTCCCAACCAGGCAGGGCCCCGCAGGGACGGCTTCCTGGGACAATATCTGTGATCCAGACTCCCACCAGATGTGAAGGGAGAACAGTACCAATGCGGGAAATGGAGGTGTCGGGCCGGTCCAGGACCTGAATCTATGGTGGTAAAACAGCAAGAGGAGACGGAGTTCTTGGGCACCCAGAAGCACCCAGGGCCATTCTCAGCCTCCCTTCGTCCTACCACCACCATCCGCAGCGTCAGGCACCTCAAGGGCATGGCGGCAGTCACGCATGTCAGAGCAGAACTGTGCTGAGTATTTTTATGGCCGATATTCAGGAAGCAGCTCAGTAGGCCTGACTATTGAAGTGCTTCTGGGTGGAACTGGACCTCCATTTTCTCAGTTAGCAGGCGAGCACATTAACGGTTTATTCCACCTGAGGAGTCTGATAAGAGTAACTGTTGTTGAGTGTCATTGACTCTGCTCACAGCAACGGGACAGGACAGAGCACAGTTGCCTCACAGGCTTCCGAGGCTGTAATGTTCATAGACGCAGACCACCAGGCCTTTTCTCCTGTGGATCCACTGGGGGGGGTTCAAAGTGCCTACCTTTCAGCTAGCAGCTGAGTACTTCACCGCTGCACCACCAGGTAGCAACAGCCAGCACGTATGTCTCACCCTCCGTGACCAAAGCCCAAACACTGTTAGTAACCTTTGTGCTTTCTTGCAAGTAATGCACATGAGCAGGATTATTCCGCCCCAGATTTTCCTGTCTCTCCACTGCCACGCTGCCCACCACAGAGACCCTGAGCCTGCAGCGCGGCCTTCTGAGACCTGTGAAAGCTTTTCGATCTTAAAGCTTTCTCAGTTCATCATTTCTAGTTGTTTTCTTGGTAGAGATTCTTGAATCTGCTCTAATTGTCTGTCTGGGAAAGACCTGAAGCAGAAAGGAGCAGGCACCAGAGATGAGAACACAGGATTGCTGTGGGCTCTGCCTGGGGCAGGGGCAATTAGAGGCCGAATGCCAAGAGAATGGTCTCTGGAGACAGTGAGGGAGAAAAAAGTGGGTCTGTTGAGGATGCAGCTTCTTCCTGGCTTCATACTTTTCATTCTTTATTAAACACACTGATGGAAAGACAATGCATTTTATGCAGCAAAGTTTTTCTTAAAAAAAAAATTCCAAAAAAGCTCACTGCCATCAAATCAAGGCTGACTCACAGCTGCCCCTCCATTGGGTTTCTGAGGCTGTAAGTCACATGGGAGGAGACTGCCCACCTTTCTTCTGTGGAGCAGCTGGTGGATTCAAATAGCCAGAACGGGTTAGAAGTGCAAAGGCCTGCAGACAACACAACTCCCTATCAGACAATACTCACTTTGCCATAAAACTAAATACAAAGCAGAAGGAGGATGCTTTTGTTCAGCACAGAAAATCCACAACTGCTGTGCATGCTGTTACTGCTTTCGGTCTTCTCATGTGGTCCCTAAGATTTCCCAGAGGGATCACCCAAAAATTCACCGCTCGCTCTAATCCGGGCAGCTGCTTGGCTCCGACCATGGCCCTGCGTCACCACATTCCACACTAAAGTTACCCCTGGAGCCCTGTTTGCAGCCCTGGGGCTCACACAACCTCTTAAAGGACAGGTGGACCACGTGAGAGAGGTTTTGTCATTGCTTTAAATCACACAACAGAGAACACAAAAATAGCAACACAAGAGTCACCAAAATCTGGGCCAGACCTTCCCAGGGAAGAGTCACCAAAATCTGGGCCAGACCTTCCCAGGGAAGAAGACAACAGGGGGGCCCACCGAACACTTGACAGAGTGGACTGTTCTGAATTTCTCTTCTCCAGAAGAAGTGGCACCACCGTGTGGCAGGAGAGTTAAACATACAGTCGCGGGGACTGAAACGTGAAGCCTGCCCATGTCCAAAGCTGGCTTCACAATCACGGCTCTCTAGCTTTCAAATCCCTCTGTCCTCAGGGATTTTGTGGGTTGGTTTTGTTTTTCTTCATTTTGGGGACAGAGTGTGGCTGTTAGTAGTGTTAGGTGCTGAATCACTTTTTTCAGCTCAGAGCTGCCTCCCACAACAAAGGTGATCTGTTTCCCTGCTCTCTGGGTTCCCTAGGCTGAAATCTTCACAGAAAGGAACCTGCGGGTGTAGTGCATAAACAGCAGGCTTCTAGTGGAAAGACTGGCAGCCTGGATCCATCAGCTGCCCCGTGGGAGGGAGAAAGGCAGTCTCCTCCTGTAAAGATCTCCACTTATGGAAACCCGATGGAGGGAGGCTAGGAATGGAGCTGAATTGACCGCGGTGTGGCCACCTTTCCAGGAGCAGATCACCTTTCTCCCATAGAGCCAGAAGACGGGTTTGAACTATCAACCTTTTAGTCAGCAGTCCAGCACTTAAACATCATGCCACCAGGGTTCCTTAATTCGGCAGCTAAATGATTTCCAATTTTGCTCATCAATATTTTTATATGATTGTGTTTCTAATTAAAACAATGGAAATGTACAAGAGATGAGCCTTTACTAGGAGCTTTGTGCCAGGTGAGGGCAGAGAAGCCTGTGTTCCCAAGAGCTGTCTGGAGGATAGACTTTCTCAAATTCAAAGACAAAGTGCTAATGACATCCCTGGGGTGTGTCACTGCCCAGCACCCCTCCTTCTCTAGAAGATAGCACCAAGGGGCAACAAACAGGTAACCATTCAGATGTCTAATCCTTAAGGAGCCCAGCACAGAGGCGACATAACCCATTATCAAGCTGATTCCAACTCATAGTGACTCCACAGGACAGAAGAGAGCTTCCCATCAGGGTAGAAGCCAGATGTCACATTCCTCCTGAGGCTCAGCTGGTGGGTTAAACCACTGACCTGGTGGCTAACAACTGCGTGTTTAACCCCTGCACCACCAGGGTGCCCTACCAGGGCCTTGCTGAAACAAAATTCCTGGTATGCTCAGCTTCTACCCTCATTTCCCATAATTCCAAGAACCACACTGTGGTTTCAAGTAAAGTGAAAAGAGGTTGGTTAGGTTTCAAGACTGAGCATATTGTAAAACCACAAATCATTCCTAAAACTCTCTCAAATCACCAGGAGCTGTGGGCCCTTGAGAATTCACAGGTCAATAATGAAAGTCCCCTGGTGCTTACAAGTCAGCTATGGCTCCCTTTTCTTGAGATGGTGGGGAAGGGTCCGGTTTGGTGGGGATTAGGGAAGTGAGGATAAGAAAAAGAAGTCTTCTTTCCTCACTCCTCTGCTTTGTTTGGCCAAGTCTCCAGAGCGGAATTCGTCTGTGTAGAGTCATTCTGGTTCACTAGGGTTACTAGTGGCCATGGAATACGTGCAAAAGGACTTGGCTACAATGCCTGAAAACAGGCAAAACACCAAGAACGGACGGGACTGAACGCAGTCTCAGACTTCCTGGAGCATGTAACACAATGAAACGGATCGGGAAGTTCTCTGCTTAACAAAGACTATTTTCTAAAGTTCTTGATAAGGTTGTTGAGGGTGCAGTAACTTACTCATGAGTACAAAGGTGTTTTCTTGAAAACTGTTCATGCCTACCTACGCTCAGTTTCACATTACCTATGCTTTGTTCCACATGTTTAAACATTTATCCACCCTATGAGATCAGTTTTACTGTAAGCTCTGATTTTCTGCTAATAAAAGCAGGGCTTCACAATCTCTCAACGTCATTTGCCTGAGAGAGCAAAACCCTCTCAAACTCGGCTCCATGAACACACAAAACAACAGTCTGAGTTAACGGAGCCCAGCACATTGCACACCATGAAACAGAAGAACAAAACCAAACCCAAGCCAGCTGCTGTCAAGTCACTTCTGACTCACGTGACCCCCCATCTGTCACAGCAGACCTGGCTCCAGAGCTTGCGGTGGCTAGTTTTTCAGAAGTAGATAACCAGGCCTTTCTTCTTAGGCACCTCTCGATTGACTCTAACTGCCACCTCTCCATTAGCACCAAGCACACTAACTGCTTGTACCATGCTGGGTTCTCAGAAGACTATCAACCTTTACAGAGTGGGCAAATCTACTCTAGGCACAGCCATGCAGCCAACCGTGACCACATCTGGGACCCTCTGATTGCCTGGGAAGCCAATGAACACGAAGAGGGGATTGGGGGAGAAGAAAGCAGGTGATGGATCACCCACAGGGAGGCAACAGGGCTGCTCACCTCCACCACAGGCCTGGATGAAAAAGAGCTTGGGCTTCCCTCCCAAGCTGGGGCAGTTGGTCCCATTGAAGATGTTCACAATTCTCTCAACGGGCACAGAACATCCATCGGTACCATAGACGGCCCCTGGGAACTGGCGGTGAACGGCCTAGAAAAACCAAGGTTCCTGATTATAAAACCCAGAAGCTGGGGCAGGAACTTAACAGCCTTTTGGGGGCTTTCTAGGAAGCCAAGCTTTCAGAAAGTCTCAGCTGGGGGCAAGGGGCTGATTCTGGAAGAGCCATGACTGGCATCTATTCCATGAGCCTGTGGAGCCAGATGGTCTGACCACAAGACAAGGAGTTCAGTGGAGTTACTGAACCAGAGAGTACCATCCAGCTTCCTCCAGACCAGTGGGACCAGTGCTTTAGGAACAGCATCACCTGGGAACTTGTAAGAAATGTAAATTCTTGAGCCCACCCCTGACCTCCAAACTCGGAATCTGTAGTGGTGGGGACAGTAATGTGTGTTTTAACAAGTCCTCCTGGTGCATTAAAAGCAGCGAGGCTTTGAGAACCACTGCTCTAGACCAGTTCTTAAACACTTGAGAATCATCTAGGGATCTAGAAAAAGTGCTAATTTGAAGCCAGCAGGTCCAACATAGGGCCTGGGAGTCTCTATTTCCCATAAGTGATGCCCATGCTGCTATTCCTGGCCTCTCATTGTGCCTGGCAGGCCAGCCACAGGCCAGAGTTTTGATCTGTGAAGAGAAAGGTCAGGCCTTTGTGTATCCCTAAGAGAAACCAGAAATGTTGATCTCTGGGTGGAACCGGCCAGTTTTGCAAACATTGTGCAGACCAGAGGGGGCTCAAAGGCTCCTGCTCATGACTTTGGTTTTTATCTGTCTCACACTTTCAATTTGAAAGATGAGGAAACTGAGGCTCAGGAATGGGCTGGGGATTGGCCATAACCACCCAATTCCAGAGACGGTCCAGCGTCCTGACGGACAAAATGGATGGGGGCTGGAGCTGACAACTCTGTGTGCTATTCCCAGCTCTGAACAAAATCCGAGGGTAGGAATGTTGTCAGCAGAGCTGGCCCTTCCTTTCTGCTCCCAGATGGTCTTTCCCACCTCACCCAGGAAGGAGCGTCCAGCTCCTCCTCAGAGGACCAGATGGCTCCTGGGCAAACAGCAGGGGAGTGGACAAGGCCCCACGCACTTTCTCTCAAAGCCAAAGTCCTTTCAGACACAGGGAGGGGTGGGGCTCTTGCACAATCTCTCAGCTGTTTCACCTCGTGTCTGCCTGAGGGCTGAGGCCAAGTCAGACAAGCCCCTCACCTGACAGCCATGAGAGAGGATGACCACCACACAGCAGTCCAGGACACTGTGGTCCCTCTGCGCCAGCTTGCACAAAGCCAGGTGCATTTCCTATGAGAAAAAAGTGCAGTCAAATGAGAAAGACTAAGGAAAAGTCTGGCCTAAAGGTCTAGGTGGAGGATTTTTCTGCTCCCCAGGGGCCACATGCAGGTGTAATAACCCCCACAATTGTCACAACGATGCCATTCTTGGGGAACAGATGCTGTGCTGGGGTGCTTGCTCATGTAAAACTAACAGTAACCTTATTGTTGTTCTTAAGTGCTGTCTAGTCAAATATGGTGACCTGATGAACAGCAGACCTGAAACCTGTCTTAATCTGTACCATCCTCATCATCTCTGATACACCTGGGCCCCTTGCTGTAGTCACCATGTCAAGGTCTTCCTCTCCTTTCTCTACCTTTTCTAGCATGATGCCCCTTTCCAAGGAATAGCCTCTACTTGCAACATGCTCAGAGTATGTGAGAAGAAGTTTTGGCCATCTGTGCCTCCAAAGAGCATTCTGGCCACATGTGGTTGAAGGCATATCTGTTTGTCCTTTTGGCAGTCCATGGGATATTCAGTGTTCTTTTCCAACACCACAACTCAAAGGCATCCATTGTTCTATCATTCTTTATCACTGTCCAGCTCTCAGACACATAGCAAGAGATTGAAAAGACCATGGTCTGAATCAGGTGTACCTTAGTCTTCAAACTCACATCATTGCTCCTTAGTAATTTGGAAAGGTCCCTGACAGCAGACTTGCCCAATGCAATACTTCTCTTGACTGTTGGTGGCAAGGATGGTGCTTTTGGATGCAAGTTAAGATGAAATCATTGACAGTTAGATGGTGAGTAGTAGTATTATTTTCTAGACAAAGAAACTGCAGTACAAGGAGGTCATCTAGCAGGTAACCAAGAGCTCAGCTCTACTCAACATCTCTGAGTCTAAAGCTTGAACCTGTAGCCACTGAACTAGACTGGCACTCACAGTACCCCAAGCATATGGCTTCTCTTGGGGAATCAGCTTGTCTTTGGGGTGCCTCAAGGAGACTGCCCTGCCCAGCCCTTCACCCCTCTCCACCAGCAGGGACCATACCTTGGCAGTCAGGTCACGCTTCACCTCCACGGTGAAATGCAGCAAGTGGAAGCGTCGTTGCATCTTCTCACAGTCGATATCGGAGCCAGTACGGGAGCTGAGCTCTGACTTGGGGCAGAAGTTCACATTGTTGATGATGAGGCAGTAGCCGCAAGGGTTGGCGTCCAGGACGTATGCCTGCCCAAGCACAGGGACCAGTGTGAGGCCGGGATCTCACTGTCAGCCTCTGTAATAACCAGCCCCCAGCTTCCACGCGGGTGGCTGGCAGTCCACAAAGATGGGACAGAACTGGCGTCTGACCCCCACTGTAGAAGTAGCACAGTCTAAGTCACCATCACAGAGCAGAGAACAGGCTGCAAAGCCGACCAGTGGAAGCACTATCTGTGCACAATACTCTGACTTGTGCCCTAGAAATGGCTGGAACCATACCCCTATACCTGTGGGTTTAACCATGGTTACAAACAGTTCCTTATAACAGTCATGTCAGGGGAGGGTGTGTATGAAACCAAATCATCTCCGAGTTACAGTGAAAGCCTACAAAAATCAGAACCTACATAAAGTGCAAACCTGTCAGAGAAGGAAAACTCGCTGGGTGTTTAAGAGGTAAGGTACTTAACAGAGAGCAAGAGCAAAGTGGCCAGCACTCTGTCAAAAGCAGGAAACTTGCAAGATCCAGCAAAACAAGGTAGTCCTGTGGAGCTCCAGCTCCCACAGGTTTCGCTGGATATGGAGCAGAACAGGCAGGGAAAGGAAACATACCTTGGAAGCATAAATGAACTTGGAGGAATACCAAGGCTACAGAACTGGAAAGGGATGAGGACCTGCCCCCAGAGCCCATGGAGCAAGCCTTCCCCTCACTGCTGCTGGGGCTGTCTGCCATTCTTGTCTCCACAGAACATTATGGATTTACTTCTTTACAAACCAACTGTTCATTCTCCTAGAGATTTACATAATATGCAATATTCTTGGCTCTCACAGTATTATTGTTGTTGTTGTGGGCCGTCGAGTCACTTGCGACTCATAGCGACCCTATGTACAACAGCCCTAAACTCTGCTCTATCCTGTGCCAATCGCACTGCTTCTGACCCACCTATCCTGATTAACCCAGTCACTGAATCAATCCACCTCATAGAGGGTCTTCCCCTCCTGCTCCGTCTTTCCACCCTACCAAGCATGGTATCCCTCTCCAAGGACCTGTCCCTCCTTACAACATGAAAGTATGTCAGACGAAGCCCCAGAATCTTTGCCTCCAAGGAGCAGCTTGGTTTAAACCTCTTCAGGATGAATCTGTTTGTTTTCTTGGCAGTCCATGGTACATTCAATACTCTTCTCCAGGACCACAGCTCAAAGGCATCAATTCTCCTTCAATCCTCCCTAGTCACTGTCCAACTCTCTGATGCGTAACAAGTGATTGCAAAGACCATGGCCTATATCAGATGCACCTTAGTCTCCAGAGTGACACCATTGCTCTTCAGTACCTTGGAGAGGTCCCTAACAGCAGACTTTCCAATCGCAATACGTTTTTTGATTTCCTGGCTGCTGGTGCCAAGAGTGTTGACTGTGGAGCCAAGCAAACTAAAACTGTGTACAATCTCAATCTCTTCACCATCCATCCTGATGCTGCCAATTGGTCCAGTGGTGAGAATCTTTGTCTTCTTGACATTGAACCTCAATACATATTGGAGGCTGCAGTCCTTGACCCTCTGTAGCAAGTTCATGAGGTCCTCCTCAGTTTCAACAAGCAGGGTTGTGTCATCTGCATAACGCATATTGTTGATAGATCTTCCACCACACTTCTCCTCATAGAACCCAGCCTCCTGGATAATCTGTTCTGCAGACAAGTTGAAAAGGTATGGAAATAGGACGCATCCCTGGTGTACACCCTTCCTAATTTTGAACCATGCAGTGTTTCCTTGCTCTGTTCTGACGACTGCCTCTTGGTCCAAGTATAGGTTTTGCATTAGCACGATCAAGTGTTCTGGGATACCCATTCTTCTCAGAGTCAGCCACAGTTTGTTATGATCCACACAGTCAAATACCTTTGCATAATCGATGAAACACAGATAGACATTCTTCTGGTACTCCCTGCTTTCAGCTAAGATCCATCTAACATCAGCTACAATATGCCTATACCACGACCCATTCTAAACCCAGCCTGGACTTCTGGTCTTCTCTGCTGATGTGCTGTGCCAGTCATTTTTGGATAACCTTCAGCAGAATCTTGCTTGCATGTAAACGCAACAATTCTTCTGTCCTCTTTTCCCATTCACTACTACTTAGATTTATATATGTATGTGTATGTTTGTTTATTTAACTTCTCTCTCCCAGATTCTCCTAGACACTCCAGCACAGGGTCCAGGGCTGGTACACAGGCGTGACCCAGGCAGTATCTATCTGGAAACGAAAGTCAGTGAATGACTCAGTCTGGGATGGACACCACAGCCTGGCTGTGAGACCCACTCGTGGTGAAGTCTGACCCCTGGGCTTTACAGATGAAGCAAGAGCAGATGGGGCAATGTGCTATAGCAAGTGCTGCACTAGGCCAGAAGCAATGGCAGAACTGGACTGGGCCCTGACTCTCCGCCTGGGCTGGGTCCTCGGGGCCTCCTGTGTCCCTAAGATACCTGCAGAGAAAGATCTGGAGAGTAAACAGGACAAGCCCAAAGCAGGAGCAACAGACCATAAATAAATCCCACAATGACTCACCAAATCAGCATCTTTTCCTAATCTCTGAGTACCTGGAGAGAGAGAAAGAAAAAAACTATGAGTGTCAAGGTCCAACTGGGTGGAGCAGGGTAAAGAGTAGGGAACACTGAAGAAAGGTCTGACAGAAAATCCAAGGGGAGCAGGACTCACGAACCCTCAGGCACTGCTTGTGGCAGAGTCAAACGGTTCTGCACCTTGGAGTAAGTAGTTAAGTAATTTCTAACAAAATTTTTTTTAAAAAGACAGTGACAGTCCAGGGATAAAATCTTCATCTTTCATACTCAAGTTTCAGCCTGGAGCATATCTTTGCTCTTTTACAAAGGATTTTTCCAGTGCTGAAGCTTGATGGTACCAAATCCTCACCTTCTAAACAAGAGACCCAGTTCCACTCCTGCCCAGGGTACCTGATGCACAGCCACCCCGTCAAGAAGGCTGGTGTGTTAGTTAATATGATGTTGAGCAGGTTTTCACAAGTTACAGAACAAATAGAGTCAATGAAGTCGGTCATTTTTCCTTCTCTGTCAAAAGTGTTTCCTCTTCCATTAACAAGAATTCTGCTGGTCACCAGTCTATGAGGTCATGGAGCTCTTATTTTTTTAAGCAAAGAGAAATTACCTTCAGTTGCCCTAGAACCCAGATTCAAGTTTCAATGATTAATGCAAGCGTGATCTCTTGTTAAGGATAACTAGCTCACCAATTTGAAGTTCCACCAGAAAAGCAGGCACCTTACACTTTTTAAATTAGAAATGGTTCTTCTACCTTGTCTGTTTTGCTAATTCTAAAACTCCACTGTAGCCCCTAAACAGAACATCATTGCTTCTCAGTTATTTGGAGAGCTCCCTGACTGCAGACTTTCCTAGGTCAATACATCTCCTGATCTCCTGACTGCTGGTACCAACTGTACTGATTGTGGATCCAGTAAGATGAAGTCGTTGACAGTTTCAGTCTTTTCTCTGTCTATCATGATTTTTGCCTATTGGTCCAGTGGTGAGAATTTTTGTTTTCTAGATGTTGAGACGTAATCTATATTGAAGGCTCCAGTGTTTGATCATTGTTGTCAGGTGCCATTAACTGGCTGTAAGCCAGAGTAACCCTGTGAGTAACAGAGCAGAGCTTCACCTGGGCCTGCACCATCCACAGTCTCTGCTGTCCACTGGCCCACTGTGGAGGCCACTGTGTCAATCCGTCTCCCTGACTGTCTTCTTTCCACTAACCTTCTACCTTATCAAGTCTGACATCCTTCTTCAGTCACTGGCCCCTCCTGATACCATGCCCACAGCACGGGACAAAACCCCACCGTTTGTGCTTTTAAAGAGGATCTGGAGTGCACATCCCTCCAGGCAGACTTGCTTGGTTTTCCGAAGTCCAATACATTCAGCATTCTTCACCAACACCACCGTTTCCGAGGCATTGATTCTTCTGTGTTCTTCTCTAATCACTGTCCAATTCACACATGCACCTGAAGTGACCCCGAATGCCACGGCTGAGGGACACGTTCCTTCTCCAAGTTGCATCTCTGCTCTTCAACACTTTAAAGAGACCTCTTGCAACAGGTCCGCTCACTGAAAAGTGGCATTTGATTTCTTGACTGCTGTTCCCATGCGCGTCAATTGTGGATCCAAATAAAATGACATCCTTGGCAATTCCAGACTTGGCTCTCTATCCTGGTGCTATTTGTCCAGTTGTCCAGAGTTTTGTTTTCTTCATGTTGATGTGTAATCGTATTGAAGGCTATATAGTCTTTAAGCTTCACCAGGAAGTACTTCAAGCCTTCTTTGCTTTCTTCTGAGCAAGGCTGTGTCATTTCCAAACAGCAGGTTGTTAACGAGTCTTCCTCCTTCTGGTTTGTTCAGCACGCAGACTGAGCAGTTACAGTGAAAGGACCACCCTGATAAGGACTTTTCCTGGCTTTAAAACATGCTGTATCCCCTTGTTCTGCTCAAATGGCCTTTTCTTGGTCTCTGACAGGTTCTACTAGAGCCCAACAAAGTGTTCTGGAATTCCCATTCTTTGCAATGTTATCTATCATTTGTTATGCTCTACCAAGTTGAAAGCATGTGCATAATCAATAAAGCACAGATAAACATTTTCCTAGTATTCTGTTTTCAGTCAAAATCCAGCAAACTTCAGGTATGATATCCCTCCTTCCATGTCCTCTTCCAAACTCACCATAAATCCCTGCTGGTTTCCTGTCAATGTACTTTCTAGTCATTTTTTAATTACCTTCATCAAGATTTTTATTTAAGTGTGCCATTAATGACAAACTCTGTCCTTTCCAATTTTTTTTTTTTTTACTTTTTATATGTATACCGTCAAATCGGATCTGACTGGTACAGGAGGAGATTGTCCTTCCTTCTTCAGCAGAGCACCTGGTGAATTTGCATTTCCAAATTCTGTTGGATCACATTTACATTTACATTTCTCTGTAGTGAGCATAAATATGACCTTAGGCGAACTCCATAATCTCCAAGATTCCTCATCAGCACGGATGGGTGCTGCGATACCTGCCTTGGAGGACTGTTTAAGGGAAGGAAGCACATGAAGCAGGCTAGAACCTCTATCCTGCCCCCATGCCTGGGCTAGTTCTCATTATCCATCTGGAGCAAAAGGCAAATTCTGAAAATGTAAATTGATGGAGAAAAATTATCAAAACCTAGGTAGGATACCCAAAACAAGGTGCCAAAATCAAATCTCCAGAAGGTAAATCAGAATTCCATCTATCTGCTGTGTGCACTTAAAAAGAGAACACCAAACACCTAACTGGTTACATGCCAGTGTCTGCTCATCATGTTCACTCACCAACTACTCTGAATACTCACAAGTGTCACGGAGTTCTCCAGAGCCAGCTGTCACTGGCTGGGACACCACTGGCCTGAGTTCCGGTGACCTGGGATAGTCAGGCCCAGTCATCACTTTGGGGATGTTTTCCACCATGGCCTTCGATGGATTCTGCCTCATCTGAGGGACTGTGAGCTCAATTGGGTTGAGGTCCACCAGGCCTGGGCGTATGGAAGCTCCTGGAGCTTGGCGACTGTTGCTCAGAAATGAAGCCAGCAGGTTCTGGCCTGTGTCCCGTAAGCAGGAGATGAACAGAGGAAGGGCCTGGCTCCCTCGAGTCTCTAGATCTGTGATCAGCTGCCTGGCCTGATCCCGCCGAGATCCAGAGCCCGCTCGCTGTTTGGAAAGAAAAAGATAGCACTAATTACCCAAGAGGAGAGCAGTGGTGTGGTGGTAGGATTCACACCTTCCACACAGGAGGCCAGGTTCAACCCCTGGCCAATGCTTCGGAAGCACAGTCACCGCCTGTTGGTTGGTAGAAGTCTGCATGTTGTGAAGGTGAACAAGTTTTAACGGAGCTTCAAAATGAAAACAGACACATGAAGAAATGCTCAAAATCACAGGCAATAAGAGAGATGCAAAGAAAAACCCAATGAGATACCATTTCACTTCAGCGGCAGTGGCAACGTTTAAATAAATGTTGGAGAGGATGTGGTGAGATAGGAACTTTGATCCATTTTTGGTGGGATTGTAAAATGGTGCAACCACTCTGGAAGACAGTCTGGCATTTCCTCAGAAAGCTGAATATGGAAATTCCATATGACCCAGCTATTCCACTGCTTGGAACAGACCCTGAGAGAATGGGCACTGAGATACAAACAGAGCCTTGTACACCAATGTTCATTGCAGTGTTGTTCACCATCTCAAAAACATGGAAACAATCCAAATGTACAACCACAAATGGAATGAGAAATTATGGTACATTCACATGTTGGAATACTACACAGCACGCAGGAGCAACGATTTTGTAAATCACTACCTAACTTGGGAGGGATTGGAGAGCATTATGCTAAGTGAACTAACTCAGTCCCCTAAGGACAAACAGTGTATAAGACCATTATTGTAGAACGTGTATGAGGATCCAAGGGAGCGAGGGAGAGAGTAGAGGGGTGAGGATGGTTAGGGGTGGGTGTGTGGGTGTGTGTTTTGATGGGTGGAGGAAGGGGTGTGTAAAGGAAATGGGAAAGATCCAGTGTGGAAAACAATGTACACAAATTTTTTTAAGTAAATCAGTATATAATAAAAATTTTATTTAAATAATTTTTTAAAAAGTTGAGAAAGGAAGGTGTTTCTACTTCTGGAAAACAGCCCACATAACATGATGGATAACAACAGTCTGATGCACAACTCATTATGGGGACAGTTCAAGATCATTCTACTGTGCCTGGTACTGACAGAAATAAGGGGCTCAACAGCTAAGTACAGTAATAATTACTGACTCTCATCTTGTCCCTTTGTTTTTCCAAGTACAAGTCTACCCAATCAGGCACGTGGCCAATTATTGAGCCTACAAGTAAACTGCGTCTGTGTCACCTGCCTGTCTTTGATTTTCTCTTCACTCAGCCAGGGTTCTGGAGACATCTAGTGTGTGCCCAGCACTGTGCTAAATACTAGCAATGCAGCAGTGACTGGGTTGGCCATTAAGAATGAAGGGCAAAGTCCAATGGTGATGGATTTTATAAAATCACTGCTATGA